ATTCTCTGCCAAAAAGACTGATAATGTCAAAAAGAATTGTGTAAAATCATATTAGTGCAAAAATGAAGCTTTCCAGAATTCCTGAAGCCAGAAAGACCTGGAATGAACTTGCCTCCTCCCTTCATTTTGATATCCCTTTTTCTGCAAATCACCCCTTCCCTCAGCCCTCAAATAGGTTTTATTACTTCATAGAAATAATTTTGTGTTATAATTGTGTTACGTTTTCCAAAGTGAGAAAAAGTGAAAGGAAAATATTTTAGGAAGATTCTGTTAAAAGACATATACATGGTATTTGTCCAAGTTTAGATTTATTCTGGAGAAATAATGTGAATTTTTAACATTTCTACTCCATTTAAGTAGGCACCAAACTTAGTGTTGTTAAAAGTGTAACTACATTACAGAAAAGACTGCAAAAAAATGCCTTGGAACTGTGTCTAATCCCACTGAAAATAAGGATTTGGGTTAGTAAAGAAGAAAAAAAAAAACTAAAAAGAGAGGGAAACCTCTCGTTTCTATTTTTCTCTTATTTAAAACCAGTTACATTTCTATACATTCTAAAATGAGACAAGATTTATCATAGTTTCATGCTATCATATTACCCCCCTGAAGTGAATGAAAATACTTGGAGTTGTACCTAAAAATTCTATCCCTGGAAGATTTTTTAGAAAACCAGTTTTGTATGTTTCAGGCTTTTAAAGGAAAACAGAACTTGGGAGTTTTCAAGGCTGTTTTAAAACAACTGGAACGTTACCAACTCTGGCTATCAATGCAAATCTGAGGCAGGAAGTACTAAGGAAATTCTAAACTCATTCCCTCCCTATGCAAGATTTTCTACATTTTCATGTATAAGGAGTGTGTGTTCAGTGGTTGTTTTGTTTTGCTTTTGAAGGATCTGTACATTCACGTCTTTAAGAATATCCTTTGCCTCACAGGACTCTCTCTTCCTTTGCCTACTACTCACTCCTTGTGTTCTCAAGTGTTTGCTCTTTCTATGGCACAATCAACCGAGCTCCAGCTAGACTTTTAGGGCCGGGCGGCAGTCCAAGCTGCAGATGGTTGAATATTCAGCCTGAAATCAGTGTGTAGTTGATGAATTACTCCTTACACCTGACCCCTTCTCCACACCAGGCGCTGAACACTATCTCAGTACCACCAGCCAGAGAAACCCTGTTAGGGTTCCCTAGTTTGAAGCCCTTTCTTCAGGACCTTCTGGGGAGCCAGATGGCCAAAGAAGGGAATGCAGCAAGCGGATACAAGAGCAACGTGATTAGAAACGGCACACTGGATTGGTAGGAACACAGTGGACTGGTAAGAGTGCGGAATAGGAAGAAAGGAGAAACTTGCTGTGTGTGCTTGGGTGATTTTTTTAAATTTTATGAAGAGGAGTAAAGTTTTCCAAATATCATATGTGAGAGCAATATCTATTTCTCAACCGTAAAACATCAATTCATCATGTTGTGACCATCTTTTAGTCTTTTTAGCTTTTTTAGTTACACTAATTTTTTTTTTTCAAGAAAACCCCCAAAGTACTTCAAATTCAGAATGACATTCATCTGGGATCTCATAATCCAACAACTACAGGTTGGTTTTTTTGAAAGGGCTGTAACAAAACATTTGAAAAATGTTAGGTTACAACTAATCAAACATCATTTTGTATTTTGTCATTAAGCTGAGGAACTATTTTTGAGCCCCCTTTCCCCCAAATTTGTTGATTATTCTGAGTGGACTTCCAAACAGCAAATTTGCTTTGTAAACATTTTTTCAACCCAGCCATGTTTCTTATTTAAATATTATAACATGTCACTAAGATTTCTTCATTATTCCTTAAGGAAAAGCAACATTCCTTCTTAAAATTGCTTCTTTTGGTATGAGAGAAACTGTTCAAAAAGAAAATTAATAAACGACAACTTTTAAGATATGAGGCATGGAAAAGGGAGCAAACTATAACATTGTTACAAATTATACCTGCCAGTCAACCACTGGATTTTCATCTTATTTAACTTACATGTACATTTTTCTAATATAAAACATTTTAAACATGTGGAAAACTATTTAAAGGAATGGAGAATAAATATCTTATTTCTGTGATTTTTAAGAAGCAAAGTTGAGAGTTTCATTCTGATATAATAGGACATAATAGGAGCAGAGAAGGCAAGGAAGTGTCTCAAGTTCCTTTAAAACTTTAATATGCATTGAGAGAATGGAAAACATTTATTTTAAAAATCCTATTTTCATTTTGTTTTATCATGGGAAAATAGCAGCTGTATCTAACACTACACATGTTTAAGTAGAATGAGAGTTCAACCTTTATGCCTTTTCTGAAAGATAACAATAATAAACATTTCAATTCTTTAAAACTCCATGAAGATTTTACCCCCAGTACTAATGCCAGCAAATAGCTCTTGTGTGTTGAGGGGAAATCACCTGAATTTAGAGAATAATTTAAGATATCATCTCACCAGAATATGATTTCTCTCTACTATAGAATTCTATTTTTATCAAATGTAAATATTATTTATATATCAGCATCATTTTAAATAGCTGTGATTTTAAAATTGGATTATAACTACCAGTCAAGGCTCAAACAGTAGATTTTATGAATTCTACCCAGGCTTACCAAATAAATATAAGCAGCATGTAGTTTCTTTAAAATTATTATAAATTATACTTTGAGATGTAGGTGTAAAGGGGCAAAAAGTGATGTGGAAATGACCCAGTTGTTCTGTCACACTGGGGTGTGAGAGTGCTTCATTGTATATTAGTAACTCTGTCAAAAAGTCCCCACATTTTAAAATATAATTGCATATTGACCCTTCATCCCATTCCCTCTGCACCCAGGTTTTGAAACAGGGCATGTTTTCACATCTTCAGCTTCCAGGAATGTTGTTACTGTCTGTCATTTCAGAGCCACTGTAACAATATTCAACAACTTCATGGCACTGTCGAAATTTTACAACATAACAATCAACATGAACTACCATGATAGCCAAGGTAGCTGATCTTCTATTCCCTCCTACACTGATCTGATTACTAGAATATCAGCTTAGGATGCCTAATGGATCTAAATTCTTTAAAAATGTTCCAGAAGTTGATGGCGTTGGCTAGCTCGAAAGTAACAAGATCCAGATGCCGCCTGTCCACACAACACTAAACTACACAGGACCCCAAAACGTATTTTTTAAAACTCTATATTTTTAAGACTCGCCTCTTTTCCCTCACCACTCTACTCTCCCTCTTTACCATCACACACGCGCACACGCATATACACACACACATGGTTTCTACTAGTGTAGCTCATCCAGCACCCCGTGTCTTTGAGGTGCTGTGCACAGCTTCCTTTATTTCCTGCTAGTAATAGGTTAAAAGAAATCTCAAGCAGAAAAACAACTTTTTCATTAATTTCAATCTAAAGTTTCTTTCCTGAATATACACCATAGTAGAAAACAAGGACCAAAAACAAAGCGTGATTTTTCCTAACATTTGGAAAAATTTAGCCAAATGAGTAAATGGGATGGAATGTCTGATATTTTTCATACAACCCTTGAGTGTATTGTTTTTGTTTCTTTGGGGGATGAGAAATGACTACAAATGTTCCCTTTTTAACTTGTCCTTGCTTTGCCATTTCCTTGAGAAAAGGCAGGCAGCGTTCTCTACCCCGTCCCCCAAAGAGTTAAAACTCAAGGCACTGAAGAGGAGGGCTAGTCTATTTAAGCAGCAGCAGCACAAACTAAATGCTCACAAAGGCAAAAAGCAATGTGAGTCGACCTTGGAGGGGGTAAGGTGGATGGGAAGGTAGAGCAATTGAAAAAGAAAAAGAGCAACAACCTTTAACATAATGCTAAAAGTCTGTTGCCCAGTCTGTTTTACAAATAGGCATTGTTTGCTGAGACAGAATAAATGAGAGATAACTACAGCATGAATTACCAAACCCTAATCATATCAGAAGTCCTGGTGACAGCACTGATCATTCAGGCATGCCTTGCTCATTTTTGGCATATTTATTTATAAAGACGGTGGACCCCGGCTAACGCAATACAAAATAATATAATCCACGCACTCGAGGAGGTAACTCCACCAACATTCTTTTTCCTTCAAATCAAGTCCAATTTAATTGACAAGTTGGAGCTGTGATTTTACACCTGAGAGTCTTTCATGTCTTAACTGCAGGATGAAGTTCAGGGTTGGCACTGCCCACTGCTTACTTACGTGGGCTTGCCTCTGGGCCCCTAAGGATCCTCTGAGCACACACACATAAAGCCTAAAGTATTTAACCACTTCAAGTCCAATTATTACCAGTTACATTTTATTTCTTTTCAGGACCAGGCCTCCTGATGGCAGCTGACACAGAAAAATAGAGCTTCTAAAAGTAAAAAAAAACATCTATCGTAAAGCTCCTAATTTGGAGTCTAGCATCCTGATCATCCTCAATATAAAATAAAATATGCAAGGAAAATTAAAAATAAACATATGCCCAAACATACGCTAGGAGACTTCGGTAGGTGCCCTATACCTTCCCACACCCTTTCTTCATTCTAAACTCAGCGGTTAAAAGTTTGAGTCGCCCCCACCCTGGCCTGTCCCATCCAGTGGGAAAAACCCTTTTAGAGCCACAAACAAAGAACAGCTCACCAGAAAAGCCCCTGAAATTATATTCTTGTGCCTAATAATCACTGTTGTGATCTCGTTTCTAAAAACCCTGCCCATCTGCAAAGGACTTTCGGGTATCAGGACCATTTATGCTGCCAAATAACAACAAAGGAACTGAACTCCAGTGAAACTATTATCTCTCCTTAAAGAGAAAGCGACAATTCCGGGTTTGCAGCTTTCTTCTTATTTTCTTCCTCTGCCTCATTAACTCCATTGGTATGTTACTAATTTCAAAGAAGCAGGAAGAGGTGATGGGGGGGGGGGGTTAAACAATAATTCACATGCCTGTCTGTTTCCCATCCCAAGTGCAGAACGCTACCACGCTGATTGCCTGACCGTGGGTCGAGCCATACCTTGGTTTGGAGATAATGAGGATAGTAGTAAGTGTACTGGGGGTACATTTGTGGCTGATCCAGGCGTTTGCCCATGTAGCTGGAATCTTTATCTCCGAGGCAGGGAACTGGATGACAAGGTATAGTGCCCCAGGCCGAGCTTCCTCTTAAACCACTATTCCTGACAGTCCCGATGACTGATGAGGCTTCAGAGACTCCACCACTCGCTAGTTCCAACACAGCAAGAATTTTTTAAAAAACAAAACAAAACAAAACAAAAAGCACACACACCAAAAAAAAATAAAAAAAAAAAAAGGGTGGGGAGTGAGAGCTGTAGAAAAAAACCCCACACACAGCCTCTCCAGATCTTTCCTGGCTTCCCCCAGCTGCCGGGGTCCACTTGGGAAGAGGCAGTTTGTTCTCTAACCAGGCTGTCTGTAGTGATGTCAATTGCCAGCGTTTGTAAAGGGGGAAAAAAAATCAAGTCCTTTTAGCACAACTCCGAATCCTTGCAGATCAGCTTCCTGTCTCCTGTTTGTCTCTTTCCCCACCTTAAAGAAAAAGGAAAAAAAGAGAGAGAGAAAGAAAGAAGGAGAAGGAAAAAAAAGAAAGAAAGAAAAAGAAAGGGGAAAAGAAAAAAAAAAAAAAAACCTTGCACAGCTTAGTTGCTGCTGTCTCCCTCCCAGAGTGACATGGTGTTCGGGGCTTGTCCTGTCCTTTCATTCACTTCCCCTCCTTCCAGCCGGTGGGTGGAACCGAGAGAGCCTCTCCAGGGAGCAGCGTACGCAGTCCAGAAGGCTGCAGTATTTCCTCCAAGAAAAAAAAAAAAAAAAAAAAAAAACAGGCTGCTTCAACCCCTGCTGCAAGCAAAGTTCCGATTCCCTCTGCTGGCTATCTCGAATAGCAAAGCGATTTTTGCAGCAACGCTGCTGCCGCTGGAACTGAACCTGAAGAACTCAAATGCGGGTGGTGGATTATTTCTTATCCCTCCCTCCATCTACTCCACACAAGAGCTGCCTTTTTTTCTTTTCTTGCCAAGTTCCGAGATAAGCCACACTGCTAAACAAAACACAGAAGACCATAGGAGGGAAGAGAGGGCGAAAGGAGGAAAGAGAAGAAAGGAAAAATTTTAAAAAGGCAGAGGAACTAACCTTGCCATGAAAATGGAAAAAAGTGTGTCCCAGATGCTTTCAAAACCTGTTAACACACTAAAGCCAGATGACTCCAAGACCTGGTTGAGAAACTAACCTTTTAGTTCCTGGAAGAGGTGGAGGATGCTCACTATTGAAGAAATTTTAGGATCTACTTCAGGACTATTGTTAACAAGCCATGCATCATCAGATTGGACTGATCAACTGAATATATCAGAAATAATAACTTTTATCATTACATCCATTTTATAAAAATCAAAGGAAGTGGCCCCTTACGTTTATCAGCTCCTTTATAAATAGCATCAGTGTTTCTTGCATCGTCTCTCTTTTTATGATTATTTTGATTCATTGATGCTTTAATGGCTCGACTGATATCATCTCAAAAGAAAAAAAAAAGAACAAAAATCATAATTACTTGGCAGAGTTTTTCTCCATCAATGACAATATTCTGACATGTCTATCAGCTGCTACATTATAATACAAATTGTTTCAGAGAAAATATATTTCCTTAAAGGGTCCCTTTTCAAGGCGGCCGAGGCTAAAATTAGATGTGCCAGCTGTGTTTTGCTGCGAGTGCTCACGCATGCCCAAAGCGTGGGCAGACCGATATTGAGCTCCTCTCTACTTTGTCAAGTCGGCTCTGTTCTCCAGAGCCCTGAGTCGCCTTTTCAGATAAAAGGTTCTTGGTACAAATCCAGCTTCCTAGGCAAGAAGAACAGAGAATTCGGGCTCAGTGCACACATGGTGTCCATCCACGTACAAGCCCCCCACCCCCGAGGCAACTGGCTTCCGCTGAGGGGAACTGGTTTCTGGAAACTGTGTGAGTGCATGTGTGTTCCTTGGAGAAAGATAAGGATGGTGGGTAAATAGTTTTATGTTTTACTTTTGACAAGAATAACAACCAGAAGGAAGGAAGGAGAGAGAATGGGAGGGTGGGAGTTAGGAGCCCTGACAACATGGTAATTCAGAAAATTAAATCAACCCTGCTGATGTTTTAAATGTGTTCTACTGGGCCTCAGTTGTCCCACCTATAAAATGGAGATGCTGTCAACTTACCTGGCTAAAGGCAGTAGGTTGAATCAGATGCTGAAAAATCACATTGATTTAAAAATCCTTCAGTGATAATCACATTGCTCAAGCAATAAAGTCCTAACTCTTTCCCATAGTTTTCAAGACACTTGACTTCTTGGCTGGTCCTTGCTTTCTGCTCCTGTCTCAGACCTTAAGCTCTGCCCCTCACATTCTATACCTGAGTCACAAATGAGCTACTTCCAGGACCCTCTGTCATTCCCTCTTCCCACATTGTTCTCCCAACCCCATTTCTACCTACCTTACCCTTTAGCAGGTCCTGCAGGTCTCAGCATGGATATCACCACCTCAGAGTGGCTTTCCTTAAACCCTTACTTACTGGGGCACTTTCTGTTTGCCCTAATAGAATGCTTGTTCTACTTTATTTGCCTGTTTACTGCTTGTCTCTTCCATGATGTCCCAAACTCTGGGAAAATAGGAGGTCACATCATTCTCCTTCACCTTTATATTTCCAAAACCTGCCATGGAGTCTAGCCCAAAACCGTGCTCAGTAAATGTCTGAATAAAATGTTTTAAACAAAATCAGTAATTTCAACCCAACTTATGTCCTTTCTTCAGCACATTTTGATCCTTGCCACAGGTCAAGAACTGACCTAGGCGCAGGGAATATAGACAGATACAAATCAGAACAAGTCCCTTCCTTCATATGGTCTATATTCTAGGGTTTGCTTTTTTGTGTGGGAGGGGGCAGTAAACAAAGGAATAAAAAAGTAAACATGCAGAGCTATATAGTGCTGTTGGAAATATAAAACAAAATGAAGAGAAACAGAGTCACAGGGATTCTACTTTAAGATAGTCAGGAAAATGCTCTTCAAGGAAGAATTCTAAGATTAAAGCAAGGATGTGGACCCTGCTCTGGGTGCTATGTACTGTGAGAGTACTTAGTGTTAAAACCTTAGATCCCATAGACTGCCTGGGTTCCAACCCTGCCTCTGCTGAATCCATCTGCCTCAATTTCTTCATCTATCAAATGTCACTAACCACTTCATACAGTTATTATGAGAATCAACCAAGACAAACACAGGAAGCATTTAGAGCACCTTGTAACATGTTGAATCAGTTCAATAAATACCAGTTTGCATTTGGGAGAAGAGCAACCCAGTCAGAGGAAACAGCAAGTACAGAAAGGCCTGCAGTGGACATGTGTCTTTGGAATGTGTAACACGTGGCACAGAGTGGCTGGAATGAAGCATGTGAGGGGTATAGACCATAAAATGAGGGTGAGGAGGTGCCCTAAGACCGGATCATATAAGCCTTGGTAAAGACTTGATATGGAAAGCTAAGTAAGTGATAGCTAATGGTAGAACAAGGGATCTATTCAAATATTCAGACTGTGGACCCAGCTATCTTCAAGTATAAAATGCTCATTTTAGATAACCTACTGAGGTTCCTCCAAATTCTAAGACCTATAAAATTAGGATTCTAGATTGCTTTTTGCCAATTCTGCCACTATGAACAAAGGATATCATATTCTTTTATTAATAACTGGCCTAAGATATTCCTTGAAGGGAAAAGAATACTGTCTTCTTTGCAAATGAAAGGCCAAATAAATAACTCCCCAGCCAAAACTACAGTCCATTATATGTACAGTTCCCAGTATGTGTTAATACTATCAGCAATTTCTATACAAATCAATACTTTTCACAATGCTATTCTATTTCATTGAATTATTGTAATGTTTTGGGTATCAGTTATCATTAAGCGTATGAATACTCATTGTACATTTAAAGCTTCTCTTAATGAAAAGTGAGTTTACCACTTGTGAGAATGTGAAAGCTGCGTTTTTATTTTATTTTTTTGCTTTTTTTTTCCCCTCAGAGATACCAGTAGCCATAGCAATTCAGGAGGCAAGATACTCATGTCAGAAATAGTTTTTATATCATCTCTGCTCTGTTGGAGCAGTAGCACTTTCCATTTAAATGATCAAGTTAAGGTAGGAGGTAACGGGTTTAAGGCACTCTCTAAATCAGCAGCCAGCTGTATGCCATTTGCCAACTAACCAACAAATTTTGTACAAATCCAAGAGCAGCCAACTGCATCAAAGGGCATGGACTCTCCCAGGTTCACATGGTGCCCAGCCCAGACAGAAGAGACCCTGCTTTAAAACAAGTTTGGACTAATAGGACTGGGGCGATGCCTCAGACATGGCATTGGGAGGTGGGAGAGTGAAGGCACCAAAGTGAATGTCAACTGGACAGAATGGAGACTCTCTTTTGGTTTACTCTTGACCTATCCACTCAAAGAATAACGCAATTCTTACTTTGGGTGATTTATTTTGTAAATTATAAAGACTTAGTCAAAAGCAAAAGAAAAGAAATATAATGAAACCCTAATTCTATTATCTTCATAAGCAAGTTCATATACTATTCTATAATCAAGAAGGACATGTATGACCTTGAATAATTTTTTTTTAAGTCCTGTTGTTTCTTGCCCACTTTATTCAAATTTATTGTAAAAACTCTTTCAACACAGCAGTTTTGAAAGAGATGTTAAACATAAATTTTTTCTTTTGTTTTGTTTTTAAAAAAAGACAAGATAGTAGGTTGCAAATTCCAACACCAACTTAGTATTACAATTTCTTTTTCTCCTACTGAATACTTGCCAATGGTTTAGGAAAATATCTGAGACAAATTAGGGGAGAACAGTAGTGATCCAAGTATGGGTGATCCAAATTTGAACTATTATTGAATACAAATATATTAATATAAATTCAATTAAAATTGGCTTTTAAGACAATTTCAAACCTCAGGAAAAATTATAACATAATATAGTTTGAGACATTAAAGCAGGTAGAAAATCAAGAAAAATTTAAAACAATGAGCATTATTAACTTCAACAGAGTTTTACTGAGCATCCACTATATACCTAAATGATTAAGGATACCAATATAAATATTATCATCCTTGTCCTCAAATAGACTGAACAACTTTATATTAACCAAATGCCAGCCATTCATGAATAATCCTAATGTGTTTTTCAGATCTGAGTACCAACTTGTTAAGATAGTTATTAAATATTTTTTTAAAAAAACTCAATTTTTTCTGAAATATATACTTTATCATTTTAAGCAATTATTTTCATGAAAGCCTATGTTTATTTTGCTTCTGTTATCTTTACAAAGAATACACACCCTCTATACTCTCACTCTCTATATACATTTTTCATAGCAGCTAATACTTGTGGTAGGCACATCCTGTTCTCCTTCTCCAGTAGGATTACCAAGATTCACACTTCCCACTCCAATCCAAGTAGGGCATAACTGTATGACTTGCCATGGCCAATAAAATACGAAGCAGCAGTGACTTCTGTAAAAGCTTTTAGCTGCTGCTAGTTGATTCTCCTCTAGTGGAAGCATGTGCTTATGTGGAGCAGCCATGGAAGGGAGCATCCTGGAAAGCTGAGGATAACTACTTTGGAGAGCTGTCTGGGCCCACAGAGTAGCTGAGCCACCTCTGATTAATACAGCATTACTTGTAGTTTCATAATATATTTGTCGGTTTTCAGGTTTCGATTTCTCTCCCACTGTTCTAAGTTCCACAGGGTAAGGAATTTATCATATTTACATTAT